TTTGCATTGAAATTTAATGACGTTAATGATTTTGAATTTTACTTTAAAGTAAATAAAATCATCAAATCATTTTACTCGCGTGTAGATTCGGAGTCGAAAAACGTGGAAAATGGAATTCGAAGAGACGGAGAGAACAAACTGAGGTTTATTAGCGACGACGACGAAACTTACAATATCGATATCAACAACAAACAAATAGAAATCATAGTTGCAAATAAAATAATACAAGTTTGGGCAAAAACCGAAAAATCGAAAACCCTATTGAACATCTGGTCCACCCCTTCGACTTTTTCAAGATATTTAGAAGATCCTATTATATCAATTAAACGTGAAGACAGCTCGGTCAAAAATGATGAATTAAAAATAAAGCTAAAATCGCAAAATAAAAACCAAATTTTGGAACATTCCATTAAAATAGAACCGCATGCAAAATCTATACTAGGAATGATAAGTGCCTTGAAACTGATACTAAAACAAATACAAGAATTCGAGAAGGCGGAAAAAACAAAAAACATGAACGATGACGCGAAAATTAAGGCAGAGCTCAAGAACCTTCTTCAAAACATAAAACAAGCCGCACCTGTCATTATTGAAAAAGCTGTTATTGAAAAAGAGAATTTCCGAATATTGGATGTTCGTTTTCGTATTGTGGCGACAATGATTGAAGCAGACTTAACAACTGCAGTTAAAAAAATTTTAATCAAGCCTAATTTACGATTACACATTCCAGAAAAAGTTATTCAATATCAAAATAATCAAACAAAGTATAACTTTGTGTGGCTTCTTCCTGAACCAATAATCGACAAAGAGCATCGTAGTGCTTTGAGAATTGCATGTGATTATCGTTATCAACATAAATTAGTAAAATCTCTTTTAGAATATTATTTTGCTAATGCTAAAGATAATGCAAACTGGATGGAAACTGTTACTCAAGCTTTACCCGAATTGTTCACAGAATACCCAAGTATGTATATACATGCACGTACGTATATATAATATAATCTGTATATAAATAAAAAATACTAATTTACAATAATTTTTTAGAGTTTGTGAATGAACTAATGAAAGATATAATTATCCACCAAAAAGAGATCCCTCTGAACAAATCACGGGAATCTTATCTACCAGCTGATAAATATAGTTCAGTTCGTGCATTTCGTTGCAAGGCTAATCTTTACGATAGTCGTCAAAAACAAACACAACCGGAAAATAAAAAACGGATTCATAGCTCTAAATATCGAAAAACAAACACGAAATATTACCAAGTTCCGCTTCCAGGAGTGATGCAAAGCTTCAACCTACGAGCTAAGGATGCCATTTTCGACTACGGTTATAATTTTTTATTAAAATTCATCTTCCTTGAACGAAATCGCGGCAATAAAAGCCCATTTTTCTATCTCGTAATCCACGATAAAACTGGTGAAATTTTCGACAATCCCTCGATCGAAGCAATTGTTGATTTTCAATGGCGTCATTATGCCAATCTCTTTATTGTTATGCGGTTCATATTGTATATTCTTTACGCAATACTGTTTGTGTGGCAAAGTTATTCACATTTAAATAAGATTGTATATGGAAAAGCGGTTGGAGCTTTATTTAAGCCGGTTTCTATCCTAATGTGTATATTCGCATATTCGCATTTCGTCGGAAAAGTACGAAGAGGCCGTTATGTCCCTTGGTCACAATATTTGCTATCAACTTTATACATATTCGATCTTTTGGGCTCAACTTTGCCTTTTATTGGTTCAGCATGGATGTTGTGGGTACATTTACATTATGCTGACTTGCTACTTCCCGCTGATATAAATGGTACAAGAAATACAAGAAAAGAATCTCTTTATTGCCAACTGCATAATGAGCGATGTCAAGCTGAGGTTATCTTTTATTCATTGGCTGGGTTATTATTATGGGTTGTTTTTGTAAGTACTAATTCAATGAATTACTTTCTTTTATGATCAATTCTTAATATGTTAAGTTATTATTTAATTTAAAATTGCTATTATTTTTAGTTCTTCCAAATGCGGTTTTTGCCATGTAAGTGCTTTATTTCATCTGAATAAATATCGATATATAATTAACTCGATATAACTATAGGGATCGGAACGTCTATCTTTATTATTATCAATGTTATCGTAAACGTATCTGGATTCATTTTTTCGCAGATATTTATTATTGTAGGCTTCGCAATCTCTATGTAAGTATTTGATTGTTCCTTTTTTTTTTTAGCGTTCTTCCTATTTTTTACACTAAAATTGATTATTTTACTTTCAGGTCATTACTTTTACGATTTGCCCCCGGGCTAGGTGTATTTCCTAATTCATCAACGTTTACTGGAAATTTTACGACAATAAATCCAAACAATCAAACAACTCCAAATTTCACTATGACGCAAGATTTAGATTGGATGGATCAATCAGATAATTACTATTATAATTGGAGTAAAGCAATCGAAGCAGTGTACTTTTGGATCGGTGGACGCTGGGATCAGATCGGCAATTGGACTTTTTGGCCAGTTGATTTAGTCACGGTGCTTGGCAGTCTAGTTTTGGCCACTCTTATGCAAAATCTTTTGATCGGTTTAATGGGGTAATTTTGAATTCTCTTAAGCTTATAATTTTATTGAATTAATATAATCTATTTTAGAAAAGCACTCGGTGAAACAGTTTTAGTGAGAAGAACGCTCGTACGAATGCGTGCACATCTTATAATAAATTTGCCTGATCAATTTCCAATGAGATACGTATACTACTCTGTTCCAGGCGAAAAAAACGACGCGCCTTATGAGGAAAAAACAGAAGAACAGCTAGGCCACATTGAATATATGGTGAAAAAGACAGAAGAACAGCTAAAAGATCTTGAAGTAATAGAGAAAAAGACAAACATCTAACAGACGAACTAACCCATATTAAAGAAGCGCATAAGAAATTAGAAGGTCGTATGGAGGGATTAGAAACAACTCTTAGTGAAATTTTTACTTTTTTAAAAATTCTGAAGCTAATAAATAAATTGCATATTTGTATTAAAATACAATCTATATGTTGCACGTACAGTGATCGTCATAAGTAATGAGAATCGAAAGTGGCACAAATCGTACATAGAAAAACTTGACTGTGTACAGCATGAACAGCCATGTTTTAATGACGGTTTATTTATCAATGTGACATAAAAACAAACCTAAAAAAAATCTCAGTTTTTTCATTACAAATGAAAGAAACCCCAATTATTAACCAACGAGAAACTGTAAGTCACCTTTGGAAACGTGGTGTCCGTGATGCCCTAACTTTAGCGAAAAAAAGTGGTGTTTCCCTCTCTACAACATACAAATATGTTGCTTAACTAAAATAAAATAATAAACTCAAGCCTATTTCTCATCTTGAACGTCTCACAATTTTAACTTCTCAAGATCGATGTGCATTAGGAAGAATCATTACAAATGACAAGTATCTTACCTGTGCTGAAATCACCACAAAACTTCAATCCAAGGTTGAAATATTCACACGAACAATAAACTGTAAGCTTAATAAGCTTGGATATCATTCAAAACTTCCAAAAACTGTGTCTCTGCTTTCAGAAAAACATCGTCTAGCTCGAGTAGAATGAACAAAAAAACATTGCAAAAATTGTAGTATTTTCAGATGAAACCACATTTCAAATATTCTAAAATACTATAAATGTATTTTACAAAGATGGAACAAGTGTTTCACAGAAGGGGGTTCCAAAACATCTGGAGAAAGTCCATGTTTGGGACGCGTTTTCTGCATGTAGAACAATTGGCTTTCTTATGTTTATTCAAAATATGAATGCAGCATTTTATCATGAAATTTTAACTAATAGTCTTTTTGAAAATGCACATAGAATTATGGAAGAATGTTGGATCTTTCAACAAGACAATGATCCAAAGCATCAGGCCACGAAAATGAAAGTATTCATTTATCATCAGGTTCCAAAGCTCCTTGAATGGCCATCCTATATTGATAGAAAATCTTTGGGTAATTATCAAAAAAAGTGTGGAGAAACGAGTCAATGAAATAATTTGAAAAGAAAAATTGATTAGTATTAGTCGTTGGCATAGATTAATTAGAAAGGAATGGGAGGATATTTTCATGGGCTTGTGTCTTAACCTGGTAAAGAGAATGTCAAGTCATGTAAATGAGGTAATCAAATATGATGGAAAAAAATAAACTATTAATGTATATATATTTTTTGAACGTCTATATTTGACCTATGTTTCTGTAAAATCATAAGTCAAATGAATGAAATAACGATTCTCATTACTTATAACGATCACTGTACACCCCTATGATATATTACCAGAAATTTCAAAAATGAATTTGTCACTTTGGATCCTGATATCTTGACATCCGGTGAATCTAATGGTGATATCTTTGTTCGAATGGGATCACTGGGATGTCGAGATATCAGGATCCAAAGTGACAAATTCATTTTTGAAATTTCCGGTATATATTGTAGAGCTGTGTAGGTGCCCAACTACCCAGCTCACCCACGATCAATTTTCCCTTCAATAAGAATGCGCAAATTTTTGATCAACACGGCAAAACAAATCCACACAAGAAAATAACAATGCAAAAAATATGACGGGAAGACAAATTTACATATAACCTTACTCCAACTCCTTAAATTAGTGCAGAATGTTTCGGGTAATTGTTGTGGCCGGAAAAATCGGATCAGAAAATCACGTGAAGGGAAAATAAATGTATGTGCCCGGAATATGGAATACAATTTTCCGTCTGAAATTATCAGAAAGTAGCTCATTTAAATTATTACACTTTAAAAGGGGTGTTTTAAAACACGTTAAAGGGAAGCACCCTGACCACGGCAAAAAAAGTATTGATCATGTGATTCTGATCCCAATGCGAACATCGATATCCCTCTTAAAATCATGCACCAATCAAATCGCAAGGTCAATGTAACAAATTTCGTCGATCTCATAATTTTTGGAGAAGTTCGCCCATCTCAATTTCGACAATTTGCTTCATCTATTCGAGCTTCTCTGTGTAATGTCCTGCCTTTCCTATTTTAGATCCACTTCTGTTTCCATAATAGTAATTCACTTTTTCTCTCCTGTTTTTCGCTTTTGTTTAATCGTAATAGTAAATTTGCTTTTAGATTCGTTTTGTTTATCTCATTTTGAATTCGCTTTTAACACAATAATAATAATAATAATAATAATAATAATAATAATAATAATAATAATAATAATAATAATAATAATAATAATAATAATTATTATTATTATTATTTCACTTTTAGAATTCAAATTCGCTTTCATTTTGCTTTTGTTTCCCACCCTTAGTTATATTTTCAATTTCACTTTCAAACAATAATATATAGCTCTAGGACAATCTAAATGTAACAAAAAAATGTCCTCACAAAACATCAATAAAAGATATAATTTAATTGCACACAATTATTCTCCAAGTAAAGTAACACTTGTAAAACGGAAATAATTGCGTACAATTCTTCCATCAAACAGTATAGTTTGTAAAACACTGAATTTGATTGAATTGATTGATGGTTAGGTCCTTTAGTCCAGAAAAGGCATTTTGATTGATTGAAAAGCGCTTGTGTTGAATAGTTTAAGGCTTTTAGATAGAAAAAGCAAACAATTCGAGTTTAGTTTAATATTGTTAATAGACATTGCTGAAAAGAATATCCTGTCATTTAAGGATAAAGAAACCCAAATTCACTTACCCAGACATTAAACAGCCCCTTTGAAGCCAATCTCTCGTCATTAATCTAACAATATCTGTAAGTATCGGCACAGGAATTAGATACCGACAAACACGAATCAGTCTCTACACTCTCACCATTCACTTATTGTAGGTAAAATCGTCAATTACGCCTAATTACGAACCACCCGCAACAGTATGATGCAAAAAATTGAAAACAAACGCTTACTTTTAATAAATAGCTTGTACCTTGAAATTTTGCTTATGAAACAATTATTTGTGTTCTAACAAAAATGCTCCTGGCGAAATTTTACTGTATACTATTACCTTAACCCTAAACCTAACCCTAACTGAAACTCTTTAATATTAAGGGGGATGTCGGATGGTTGGTGTCAGGTCGGCATCGAAATCACGTGAACGATATTTTTTGCCGTGGCTAGGTACTAGTTAAGGAGGACAGAAATTGTGTGATCATTTAAGGCGGGAAGCTTAGAGAAAATGTCAGTTCCCAATGACACGTCGAATTTAATTGGTACTTGTGAATCAGGTGGAAGGTTAATATATTAAACTTACATAATTTCTGTGTTTCCTAAAATGAAAACCAACAGTGACATCATATACGAATTATTCTAGCGACTTTATGTCGTTTTTGCTCTCGTACTATCAACTTCTTTTATTAGCTCTCAGTTAAACACTAAAGCACACAAGAAAAGAGAGCACGATGAACAGCAACAAGATATCTAAATAGTTGTATGCCAAAAAAAAAAGGCATAATAAATGAGTTTCTTAAGATGAGTGTTAACACAAATGTGACTTCATCAATTTTTGGTGACAGATTGTCACGAAAATGATATTGTTCATGTCATGTGCTATAATATTTGCTTGAAAAACATATTCAAACATTACAAGCTTAAAACCCATAGTCATTGAGTCTGCAGTGCTACAATATTCTGTTCTGTTACTGTGGTATGAGTTGATTACCTGCAAACTGTTAATAATACTACGATTCGTACTGGACAATTAATTATTCTGTACTATAGAACTCTTAGTTTTCTAAAAATCCAGTTTATTTAGTAAATTCGATTCTCAAGACAGGTTTGCTATAATTGTTCCTGAACTAATTTCGGTTTACGCGAGTTTAATTCGCGCTCGGGTACTATGGATGGTACATATCACAAGAGATTTGTCAAGTCTCCGGGTACAATGATTGGTATACAATATCACATGTCCATTGGCAATATTGTTTGCATCTCTCTTTACTATTTCGTTTTTAATCTAAATTATGCTCCTATTTACCATCACAGAATTAATAAAAAACATTTTATCCGAAGACATCTCTACACTATTTACCTGTCTATTAATAAATAAAAACGATCTAAACACAGTTCGTAGATTGGAAAGTTCCATTTGATTTATCACTAGCGAAAAGAAGACAAACCATTACACTAATTGAAGATTGATGCCTCCCTACTAACACATATATTGTTTCTCAAAAAGTCGAATAGCACAAATATTCAAAAAACAGTTCCTAACACGAGGTAATTTTTCATTTCGCTTTCTCTTGCGACCACAGTCAAGAATCCATTAGGTGCACCTGAAAACCGGATACTATTATTCCTATACCAGTTGTGTCTTTTTGATTTCCATCAAGTAAATCCACTTTATATGCTATAACAGGCAGCTTACGATTAGAAGAGGATTTGACGAAATAAACAACAATTGTTAATAAGCTCTTTAGTCACCTCTATAAACTTACTGACATTTTGCACTGTCTTAGATTGGCTGCATACGTACCAAACTTGTGATGATGGTATGGTAACGATAACATCTTTGGCGTTAGTCCCTTGGGCTGCACTATTTGCGTTCTGACAAGAAAATAATTAAGTTTATTTTTTGGCATTTTATAAAATACCATTCTTCGAGTAAACAAAGTTACCTGTACAGCGAAAAGAGCATAGAACAAAGTAATAGCTTTGACAAAATACATCACTATTCTTGTATTTTTTATACGTAGGTCGACTTTTGTACATAACGATAATAATATGTTTAAATTTATTAACATTAATCGAAACGAAAGCTTCTGGTTTGTGTTTTTTTATAGCTGTAGCAACAGAAATGATTCACAAACTTCCAAGCGGAGTAAGTTAAAGTGGACACCGACACGATATTATCAAACCTTATACATGTACATGTATTTGGTTTTTTTGGTAGCAGGTCACTTTTAGTAAAAAGGTTATCGATACAGTGCAAAGTAATAATTGCACAACATAAATATAAATAAAATACAGTTTACCCTCTCTAATGTTACACGCTTTTAAATGAATTTACAACGCCAGTTTCAAGAGTATGTCATTAAGATTGTAATATAATCGTATTTCTCTTAATACATACTCTTGGAACTGGCATTAAATTCATTTGAAATCGTGTGACTTTAGAGGGAGCAGACTGTACAGTCAAACTTCCCTCGATATAACTATATAGTCGGGATAATTTTTTTGGAAAGCAAAGCAAAGTGAAATATAAAAGAAAAGCAAATTAAATATTCGAGCAATGATTTAACATAAATGTGATTTACCTCCTCTAAAACATGAACTCCCATCAATGACGTCTATTACATAGGATGAGGTTAAAAAATTCTGCAAATATCGATATATTGAGAATTTATTATAAAAATCTTTATATCGAAGGAAATTTTATTAGGTGCTTTTGGGTTATCATCGGTAGATTCATTTGAAAGCTTATTAAATGAAATTCCATCTCTGTTTTTTCTAAGACTAATTTACTTTTCTGTTCAATACATTAGCATCCTTTTTTCCGCATTATTTTTATGATTGTTGGATGGCCAGTCAATGGGATAACCTTTTTTTACTAAAAGTTACAAATTTTCTTTGTATTTTTAAATTTTTATCATAAGTCGCCATTTTTTTCGAGATATATTGGTGATGATTAAGGGATCAAGTTAGATTCCAACAATGAGGAAAATTTACTATACTGTATATAAAAAATACTTTTGTAGAAAAATAGAGCCAATATTAATACTTTTTCAATCGGAATATGTGATATTTCAAACTAATACTAATATTAAGATATTTTTTATCTGTCTCTTTTTAATAACTTTATTGTGAATTGAACAAAAAAATCAATATATAGATATAATTAGACCATAAAAATTTTATATTTATGACTGGTGTACAGTCCTCCAGAAAAGTAATGGCCGGCGGTTTTTTTATTATAATTTATATAAGACTTTATATCCTAGAAATATTAATATTTAATATATAATCTATTTTTTAATATTAATGTAAAAATTTATTTATTAAAAAATTTCCAAAGAAGATTAATTTTTTTACTTTTTTTAAGAAATAAGTAGTATTTTATGCTGATTTTTTGGAATTAGCTAGATATAGATTGGGTAAATAATTTTTTTTAGTGGGCAAAAACTGATTTAGTAATGTAGTTTTCGAATTATTGAGCTTTGTTTATTGGCAACCCCTAACCGAACCGTTTGTAAAAAAAATCTTTAATATCTCGAAAACTGTATTAAGAAACTGGTTTTAGAGTATTATGAAAAAGTGTTCCGCCAATCGATTTATAGTTACCATAAAAATTTCAGAGAAGTGAACATTTTCTGTGATTTTTAATGTTAATTTAAACGTCAATCGGCCATTACTTTCCGGGGGACTGTATAATATCTAAACTTATCAATAGGTTGTATTTTATAAATTCAATAACTTCTTACCGATACCGCAAACTGCTGACTAAAGTACCTTTGTAGAGTATTTAACCGATTTTTTTAATAAACCTGATTAATTGCTACTAACTGAATACTTCAAAATTCTGTAATTTCTTTGAAAATTTATCTCACTAAAATAATAAGTTTAAATTTGGGGGACATGTACTTTAATCGGTAAATAAAAAATTTAATACGTGAATATTACGTACGTACATGTAATTTGTACTTGTGCTCGTCTGAATCAAAAAAGTCTGGAATTTCGAATGAAAAACACCACTGTTGATTTCGAATTACGCAAACAGGTCCATCAACTTTTGATTACATGTATGTACGTAATTGTTTTAACAAAACCAACTTATTTTGTATATAACCAAGTACATGTAATTTGTATTTCTTTTATTTGTCCCAAATCTCTTAAATATTGATCAAATACATAACTATTATTATTATACATCCCGTAAAAAAATCTTTATATTATTTAGTAACCTTGATTGTCTATATAAAACAAAAGGAGTTGTGCAGCCCTTTTTATTCAAGGTTAATTATATCCAGTTTACTGTGTACTAACATATTTTTATGGAATTCTGTAGTTGCTATAAATTTATTTTTGCTATGCAACAAAATTTCAAAATTTTCAACACAAAATTCTTATTACATATACAAAGGCATCTCGATATAACGGACATCTCTGAGCACCTGAGGAAACTTTTAAAATGTTCATTACTATATAAATCTTGGTTCCTATAACGAGACTTTACTTAATGATCGTTATATCAAGAGTGTCGTTGTGTTGAAACTTATATGGATTATAATGCGAGAGACTCCGATGAAAAATAGCTACATATATGTATTTCTTAATAAAATGACAAGAAACAAAATTCACACCCTTATTATAAGATATTAACACTTAATTATTATTGCTAATATGCAATATTTTTTTGTACAAATAGTTAAATTTCCATCAAATCAAACAACTGTAATAGTTATGAATCTATAATATATAATTTTTTTGATAATTCATAATGTTGTGGCAAGCTGATAATTTTAATGAATCTGTGAAAATAATGTATTATTATTTTTTTTTAGATGAAATTAATAACAGTGTTAATATTGCAAGAATTTTTTTATTCGGTGATAAATACACAAATTTTCATCAACATCACTTTTTATACAAAAACAATTTCAATAGAAAAGTAACATTTAGCTAAATTCTTTCATACTCAGCGAGACATACTTTATATGGTGAAAGTTTAATCTCAAACAAACAAAGTAACTTACATAAAACAACAAATTTACACTTAGTTTTTTTTAATACTCTTTGCATTTGAATTTGAGATGAAAAGTAAAAAAATAGATATTTAGCTTGCAAGCTACTCGATGCTCTTCGAGCGATCCAAGATTATCTTGGCAAGTATTGAGTTGAGACAGTTAAGTTTGTAAGTTCAATTTAAAGCAGTTTTGAGAAAACTTCGTTATAGGTTTGTAATCAGATTTCTATTGAAACAACCAGACCAAATAATTAAAAGTGAATCAGTACTGGGAAAACCTAAGGTTCCGAACTGTTCTGCTTACATCCGGATCTAGACGGTTCGGTTCTAGGGCGCTTATTACTTATTACTTTTCATAGAGTAAATCTGAACGATTCAGTTCTACTTTAACTTGGAACCGAACCGAAATGAATCGGATATTTCAATTTATCAGTTAAACTATACTTTGTATTTAATTTCGTTCTATCTAAAAAAAAATATTATTGAATTGAAGTTTCAATTTGCTGAAAAGTTACTTGCGAACCAAAAATTAGGTTCAGTTTCGAATAACTACAAATAAATGACTCTTACATGAATATCTCACTTGACAATGACCATAACCAGGATTTGGAGAACGCAGGTATTGAACTGTATGGTGATATTAGCACAGGAACATCTGACGGTGCAAGAAGACAAGAAGTAATGTGTGGTCACAGTTGGGATTCTGTGCAATGTAAGGCAAAATGCAACTATTGTATCGCATGTGTGCTATAAACCTATATGTTGTAATTGTTGTAAAGTTGCAACCTACATGTATATTTTGTAATAACTGTGGCCAGCAAGCTTAGTGTGCTGATGATAGCACCTCCAACCTTCATAAGACTTAAAAAAAACAACGTCTGAATAAATTATTAAGAAATAAAAAAATGAAACAACATACGGCAATGGTTAAATCAAGAAGCTTCACTCCTATTTTTAAAAATAATTCAAAAATTATCAACTAAGTAAAAAACACATTTTGGCTAGTCATTAATAAAAATGCGAATAAAAGTTGCTTAAATTTAAATTTATTTTTATTAGCTTGGGACCAAAACCGTGCAAAAATTCGATTCGGTTAGGTTTCAAAGTACTCAGGGAACCAAATCGAATTTTCGAGTCTGCATCGGTTCTACTCGAAAACCGAACCGAACCGATCGGATTCTTAGGAAAACCTTATAATAAGTCTATGTTTGTTATTGCTTTTTATAACGGATTGACTGTATTTTGACTCAATTTTCCATCCATGTTTTTTTTACAAAAGTCCTTACAAATGTACATTTACGTATCTGCATATAATTAAACGCCATTTCTTTGGTTTTTTTTTCATCGGGAACTTTGACGAACTTCATTAATTTTGTCTTGCATCTAGCTAACTTGCATCATTTTCACACACATCTTATAGCACTCAAGTAATACTAAAAGCACTCAAGATGTCAAAAGTTCAAAGATTTACGGTGCAATTCTTCAAAAATTTTTGTTACTAAACTAATATCGTTGAGGTGAAATTTTCTGCGGGGTACTTTATGTGACAAAATATGGTATGATACAAATTCTTTTGGTTTATTAACAAAACATTCCTCATTTATAGGGTGTGAAACTTTAAAACGAGCATCAAACTCAGCTTGTTCTTACAATCTGCACTTTTATATCACAAGTACGGATAAAATGGAATTTGTAATATGAATCGTAATTTTCAAGTAAATTTGGGTTTTTGTAAACCTAACACTACACTGTACATCGATATTTCTATATTTAGAAATTTTCTGCTTTTTTTGAACTCCGCCCAGACAATTCTAAAAAATTAAATTGATATTATAAATATACTGTTATTACATTTAGACTTTATAATAAATTAAAATCTTTGAGAAATTATAACATACGTATTGATAATGTATTTGCTAAAGCTCTTCATGAGCCTTGACTAGCCACATAATTCACTGTATTGGTATGTTGGATTAATTCAATTTACGCCAGAATTTTAGTATCAGTATGGTATGGATAACCGGGTGAGTATGGTACAGGAAAAAGCCTAACCTGTGCTACCAGTATAATGATAACACATACTAATGGTAGTATTACGTATAAACTGTCATATACGTACTGTCTTTTTATACTGTACTATGTTACATAAATCTTTTAAAATATCCTATCGCTATATTCTGAACCCCTAACCCTTTTCCAATACAGTACGTAGATGAAATAGAAAAAGAAAAAGCCAACAGAAAATTAGTAAAAATATAATATCGATATAGACGATAAACAAGATAATAACCCTTTTAATCACAGTTTCCTCTATACTATCCATATACATCTACGTACTGTACCATCGTATTGGTATAAATTTTATACACGTGATGCATACCATACTGATCGGGTTATCCATCCAGTTTTGGCATACAAATACATGTACATGTATAACTGATCTACGAGATGATGCTGTGTAACAAGTTTCCAAAAAAGGAATCTTTGTAAGACTTTTACATGTCTCACAATGAAATCATCCGAGAATCTCCTGCTTTTGCACGCACAAACGCACACAAAAAAGGTATTATATAAAAGTCTTGGGAATTTTCAGTTCTCTGTACGTATCGTTATCTCTCAAATATCATCAACGTTAATAATGTCTTCGAACGAAACAAACACACAAGTGACAGGCGAACCAAGTCACATTGCGGTTGATGTTCCACCAACTCCAGGTATTGATGTTAACTTTTTTATGTGCAGTTGTTTATTTTCTAAATTGGATAATTTATTGAATAAATGCTATCGCTATTGATTTTTACTTTTATACCTATGAATAATTAACATATGCAGAGAGACTGCCTATGACCAGAACTTACTCGCAATCTCCTGCTGATCTTGATAAATTTGAAACACAAAGTGTCCACGAAAAAGTCGCACCATATAAACACGAAGGTCCATGGTATAAAGATACTACGAAAAAAAGATTGCTTGGATTTTCTATTATTGCATTGATTATTATTATCCTTATCGTTGGTAAGTTATTCGGTAATTTAATTGAAATGCTGATAAATTTGAATGGCCTTTTTCTTGTATAAGATAAAAGATGTTATTGAAAAGCTTATCTATTTTTTTATGTTATGTGTCAATAGTCCCAGTGTCGGTCTCCCAGACAATTAAGAACAAATAAAAAGGTTTTTTTTGGAAAACTCCTATAAAACGATTTTAATTTTTATCAATATCATCATTATCATTATTATTATGCTCATTTATTTAATCATCAATTTTGAAGCTATGTGTTTTCTATTTAACGAAATTAGGAATTTTGGCATATTCATATATTTAGATGTACTGTACATGTATCAATAACGATAAATTGCATTAAACTTTCTTGCAAACAAAAATATTTCATTGTAAGATATTTCATCTGCGATTCTACTTAAAACGAAAATATTGAAGATATCCATCATTTGCCGCTAGAAGAAAATTCTCCGGGACAACAATGTCAACTAAAATATGCTCCGGAACAATGATAACAACAATACGACGACAACGACTATTAGAGTAAATGTGATTATAGCCTGAAATAGACAAATAATTTTATCGTACTTGATAACAGCTTGCGGGAAGTTTAACACTTCTCGTAACGGTGATAACGATAACGATAATCACGCAGTTCAGTTTTCCCCGTAAAAATGTGTTTTTTAATCCAGAAATTCACCGTTATTTATATTCCGAAATCTCGTAACGGTGAGATTTTTTATCATTAGATTTTGCTATAAGTTGATAAAAATTATCGCTTATCGTTATCGTTATAGGCTGGTTAAACCAAATTTTACTTATAAGTAAAGAGCAAAAAAAACGCCGAACTTCCCTCAATATAATTACTATTTCATTATTATTCATTACTTTACTTAAAACATTATTTTTCACATCATCCTCGATTTTAATAACTAGTGAAAAATTTTTCAAAAGAATCCTTGGTAATCACGATAATTTTGTTGATAAAGTCTTAGCGTTAGTGTATTGACTTTAGCCTCGTGCACCAATGTGCTGAATATAAGAATAACTGAATTATAGACTTACTAACACGAACAAAAATAAACGTATCAAAAATCCCTGTGAAAAATGAAAAAATGCTGGGGAAACTATCTGATCAGGAAACTAAGAGAGCCAGAGAATTTCCTCCAAAAAAATCCGGTTTTCTTCCTGAAAGAGTTTGAAAATTTTTCTGATTAGGTATTTTTTTACATGGAATATATACTTTAAAGATAAATTTGCAATGCAATAACTTCTTGTACACAACGTTATCACCAAATACAGTGGGAGCTCGTTACACTAACATCCTTTATACATGTAATAACATTTCGTTATCGTTATAACAACATCAAATCTCTTTCCCCGATCTATTATTTTAATAAGTTTTATTATACATTCTTCTTTTGATAAAGTAACATTATAACATCACCAAATTCTTTGTCCCCGATCATATTACTGTAACAAGAGTTGACTGTATAAAATAATTATTGTATTTACTTTATTTTTCACTCGTAACTTAAAAAATAAAAATAATTCATTTTTACATCAAATTAAGTGACCCATTCTTTTGATTACAAAAATGCAAATTAAAATTTCTAACCAACTAGCAAATAAAAATTTTCATCAATTACATCTTGGATACGCTCCTTCATACTTTCAATTAGATTTGTTAAAAATGCATTATCCATTTTGATCCAGACTTTTTTACTGTGTTCCAGAGTTGATCTTGAGTATGAATTGTAATGAATGATGTTTTCAAATACTAGTCTATTTCATTCCAGAGATGCTTAATTGGATTGAAATTAGATAATTGAGCAGGTTAATCAAGTATATAAATATCATTGTCATAAAACCATTTTTATAAGTAGATTTTCTCATGTATTTTTTATTAAAGACAATATTATTCTTATTAATATTATATCATTTGATTATTCTTGAAAGATTATTTAAAATTTATAATACAATTTCTTATATAATATAATTATAAAATACATATAATATTATTAATATCAAAGAATAAAAAGCAATTTATTACATTCTTCAATTTTACTGCAGATTTTATATAATATTTCTTAGTAATTTATTATTATATTTTTAATATAATCATATTTATCCAAATTAAAAATCATAAAATTATTAATTATTCAATATAAATATTTTTGTAAAATTCAAATATTAAATTTGATATATTTCTTAAAATATTATTTTTTTGCTTTAATTTATAAGAAAATTATTATAATATAAAATTTACTTTATTATACTTGATTTTAATTTTGTTTTCAAATTTTAGTTCTTTTAGAATAAAAATTAAAATGAAATAATTATTATTCAAAATTAAATTTATTATAATTAATAAAAATTTTAGAATAATTTGGTTTAATAAATATTCTTTTATTGCTTTATTCTTATAATAATAAATTTTGAAAATATTTTTATAATTTGTAATAAAAAAAAGAAATATTCTTTTTAAAGAATATAAATTTGTAATATTTTTCAATAAAAATATATATTATAATAATTAAATAATACAAGATAAAAAAATACAAGGTAAAAAAATATATTTATATATATTTTATATATAATATAATATATAATATATAATGAAAATCAAAAATAATGCAACATTAAAATTTATTAATTAAATATAGTAAAATATAGATTTTTCTCTTTATATAAAAGTTTCCAATTTTATTAATAAATATTTTTTATTTTTACATTAAAATAAAAATAATATCACATATTTTAACATATATTTTTTCAAAATTTTTAGATTTAATCTAATAAAGCTATTCTAATTGCATATAAAATTAATTATTTTTTATAATTAAAACATATAAAAAAAAATAATTATATTTATATGCAATTAGAACAGCTTTATCAAATTAAATCTAAAAAATCTGAAAAAATATATTTTAAATATGTAATATTATCTTTACTTTAATATAAAAATAAAAAATATTTATTAGTAAAATTGAAAACTTTTATATAAAAAGAAAAATTTGTATTTTATTATATTTAATTAATAAATTTTGACGTTATTGTATTATTTCTGATTGTTACTATATTTTAACATATTTTTTTTAGATTTAATCTAATAAAACTATTCAAATATTAATTAAAAAAGAAAAAAATATTAAATACAAAATTATAAAAGATAAAAATTATTAATATTTTATTAGTTTATTCTATAATTAAATTTGAATTATTATACTAATATTTATTAATTTATTAATTAAATAATCTTTTAAAATAGTAAATAATATAAATTTTTAAAAATAATAGAAAAATAATAAATAACAAAAATAATTTTAATCATTATTTAATTATTTATTTAATTATTTTTATATTTATATTATTAATTATTAGTATAAAAATACTATTTTAATTCATTTTGTGATTTTTTACTTTTATTTATTTTTTATTTATTCTTTATCTATCTTTATCTATTCTTTATTATCTTTATTTACCTATTTTTTATTTATTTTATTATATTTACTCTTCTTATTTATCTTGCTTTATCTACTTTTTTATATTTATAATATTATAAAAATATTTATTATTATTATATTTTATAGTGTAAATATTATATAATTATTTTTAATATTTATAATATATAAATAAAAATAATTTCTTATTTATATTAATAAGTTAAAACTAAATAAACTTTTTTAGTATATATTAAGTTAAAAATAATAGTTTTTTTAGTATATTTTAGCTTTAATAATTGTGCTTTATAATTTATAAAGGTTACTTTGTTATTTTGTTTTATTTATATTGATTTTATATTATTTTGTTATATTTTATCTTTGTTATAACTTAATTTTATAATTTTATTTCATTATAATAATATTAAAAATACTAAAAAAATAATAATATAAATATAAAAATATCAGTATTATTTTTTTATAATTTCTCTCTTAAATATATATTTATCTGATTTTCTCTTTATAATTTCTTTAATTTCTCTTTTATATACTTAATTTCTTTAATTATTTAACTCTTTTATTTAATTTTTCTCATTCTATTAATTAATATAAGTATAAATCTTAAATATATCTCTCTCATTTTAATATTAGTTTTCTTTCTCAATCCAAATTCAATTTTGCTAGCTAATTTCAAATTAGTGAATAAACATATAACAATATCTTAATTTTTTAAAAATATTCTTTTTTTAAAAAATAACTCACTATTATTATTTTTATTATTTTTATTAGTTTTGTTAGAAATTATAAAATAAGATCATTATTATAAAAGCAATTTTAATAATATTAAAGTTAATAAAAGAATTTTGATAAAAAAATTATTAAAATAAATATACAAGTATAAATAAACTTTAAATTATTGAAAAAATATTAAATTCAGATATTTATTATAAAATAAATTTAAATCAGTAATTATAATCATATCTGAATTATATTATCTTTTTTATTTTTATTTTTTAAATTTTTGTGAAATATAACTAATAATAGAATATATCTAAATAGATAATATATATATAATTTATTCTAGCTCGACTTTGAAAATATAAATAAGAGTTTAAATAAAAAAAATATAAATCAAAGAGATATATGTATGTGTAATAGGTATTATTAATTATAATTCATGTTGTACAATTAATACACTAAATATTTTTAGCTTTTTTTAATTCTCAAGTTGTAGCTATTATAAATGCTGCATTATCTATTGTGATTTCTAATAATTTTTCAGTAATTTTAGTCTTTTCTGATATTTGTATAATAATTTGTTGAATATATATAATAATATGTTATAATAGTATGTTATAATAGTATGTTATTCAGAAAAGTGATAAATATTGAACAAAAAGTAATATAGCTTTCAATCTTTATTAACAAAGTGAACTTTTATATCAAAATATGATTACATAGTAATTGAACTTCAAATATCACATGTAATTGATACCTTTTTAGTTTTTCAAGCTCTTTTTAGTATTTTATCATGTATATTATTTTGATATATCTGAGTATTTCCAATATCCATTTAGTACCCGGAGTACTCAAGTAGGGGGGGGTACTTTATATTAATGGGGGTATATTCTGTGAATTATATCCCTGAAAAATTGCTAGAAATTTATTTTCCCCGGGGACCATGGCAAATGTAGATGTGATTTGCATGTTTGTACTTCGATCAAATACATTTTTATTGCACGCACATGAATTAACGATTGATGCGATTTTTCGATTTTTTTACCTTGATTGATGTGTAAAAATTTCAATTTTTTCGCCTTCAAATTTTCAAAAAATGTACCCATACAAAAATATTCCAAAACGGTCTCATACTACAAAAAAAGTTTGTCGCAATTGGTGTGCCCATGAAAAACTTATGGTTATTCATTACTTGGAATGCGTCAATAATGTGTGTGGAACAGCTAAAAGATTCGGTATTGAACCCAAGCAAGTTCATGAGTGGCGAAGTAAAAAAATAACTATTTGATGCCGCATCTTATATTCTAACGCTCAACCATGGTCGCCAAGCAAAATATCTATTGTTCGAAGAAAGACTTGTTGGGTGGGTTATGGAACAACGTGACAGACAATATGCTATAACCGAAGTATGATGATACAAAAAGCAAAATTAATTTCTCAAACTGACGAATTTAAAATCTTTATCCTGAAATTCTCTGATCGATGGTTAAGTGATATCAGTAGTAATGAAAATTTGTGGCAAAAGATACAAACTATCTGGAATCAAATCAATATTGATTTTTGTTTAAAACCATGCAAAAAAGGATAGTGGATGTACCTAAGGCTAATGGACGGTATACCAAATGTCTGTGAAAAATATGGGTGTATTTTATTTTAAATTTATTGAGAAATTAAATCGAAAAATGATTTTTGATTAGTTTCATAAGTATTGCACATAAAATTTTATTTTTTTTAAAAAACTACGAATTAGATTTAAAAATTTTTTATTATATGTAAATCATAAATATATTAACAATAATAATGTAATATAACCAGATTTCTTCAGTCTGTTTATTTACAACCTCGACATCGTATCCTGATACACATCAATATACCGTGCCTCTGTATCATCTCCAAAGGGCTGTAAGACACATTTCAATTCATTCGCAACAAGATCAAGCGGACGAGGCGACCAAGTTTTAAAGTTATTTCGCAATTCTCTGAAATCGGAACTAAGTTTCTCAGAAATAATTGTCTTTTCGTCGGACAATAGACCGCGCATTGCCCATGGTACGTAGGTCATATGTGGTTTTTCAGGTAACTTGTAATCAAATTCAGTGAATTTTGCGTCGATGTCTTTGTATTCTTCTTTTGAGTTTAAATGATCGAATGCGTATCTATATTTTTTATGAATAAAACAAATATTTAATTATTTATTTTAAAACATGATGTACTGAACAAAATACTTACTTATAGGCATCGGGTTCTTCGTGTAAATGTGTGTGTCCTCCGTCTTTTAAGTATCCAATTAGAGAATCACTCAAGAGAACCAATAGACCATGATCAGAATGATTGTTGTTTCGAATTCGGAGAAGAATGCTTATTAGAGCTGCTATAAATTTTTTCTCTTCATATACATAACCGGCAACATATATCCCACGTTTAATTGACGGGTGATCCATATTCGAGTATAATGCCGAATGAAGCTGTCAACAGAACATGTTAATCTTTGTAACGGTAAGTAATTAAATAGAAATCAAACAAGATATTACCGGAACTGCTTCATCATTTCCAGAAGCAAAATACACAAACTTGACTCCACGCTTCAGGAGGTTCATTGTAGCATCACGATATGTCTGCGATATTTTCGATGAAGAGGTTTGAAGTTCAAACATTCCCGCTGTGTGATCATCACCGACTATTTTAGCAAGTTCACCTCCAACATCAAATCTTGGATTAGGTCCTTGCGAAATTGACGCCATCAAACAAGCACAAATCTTTTGTTGATCTGGATTAACTAATCCGTCTTCAATCAATTTCTGCATTAAAAGAACACTAACGGGAACACCTTGCGAATGTGCAACCACAAACAAAGCTTTGGCATTCTTGATTTTATCACATTTCGTCTTATCGCCTTTTATTTTCTTCAAGTAATTTTCATATCGTCCTAAAATTGTTCCGTATCCGTCCAACGGAATACTCGTAATATCGCCTTCATTTGGACCTAATTTCAGTTTTAGACGGATTGCTTCAGCCATTTTCACGCAGAATTTGTTTGAATCTAATTTCACAAATCCTTGAACTATTTTTGGTTCCCATCCATGAAGACCGATAATAACGATCGGTTGTTTTTTGTCTAATACATCGGGTTTGACTACTTCGGATTCGACTACGAGTTTCGCAAAGAGAAAGGGTGTGCTAGTAACTGTTGGTTCAGCTGGTGAAGTTTCTTCAAATTGTGGTAAAATCATTTTTATTTTAGAAAATATGTATATTTATATTTAACGTTTATAAAATTTATATAAGAACAGAAACTAACGGAAAATGGTCGTTGCAATTAAATCCGCTGCTTATATATACATATTCTGTCTTCTTTCCCCATTATAGATTTTCCGTGGGGTATCCATTCAAAATACAAACAGAATTTCAAATTTATATTTCAAATTTATATTTAGTTCGGCCCGTTCAGCATAGATTTCTTTTTCTTGGTGTGTATAACTCATTACGTAGCAATCTTTTTATTGTTTGAATCAAAATTTTTTAGTTCCATACAATCGGATTATAACTACTGGTCAGAATTATTAATATAAACCGGTATATTTTCTTTATATGTTATTGTGATTATGTATGATGTGTGGAACAGCATTGAAACAATCAATCTTTGATTGATAGTGCCAAAAAAAATGAACTGTCTATGTTATCCTTCCGTCCAGAGTTATCAGAATTTCTGTTTGTGTACTGTACATAATTGCATATAATACCGTAAAGCGCCCTGTATGCGTAGTATCTCCCTTATAAAATGCTTTCTGTACAGATATTTTTATTTATAGATTTGGTGTATGCTTTTTTTGTGCATGTAATACAAGCCCAAAAATGGATATATAGATATAACCTTGTTCTCGCTCTAACCCCCTAGCGCTAGCTTGTAATATCGATATCTATAATTGTATAAATGTGCTTTGTATTACATGCACAAATAAATAAAGCGATCACTTGACATTGAATTAACAATAAAAATATCATCCACGTATTAGCGTTTTTACTTGTTTCACGAATAGTAATTTCATTTTTATTTGCTTCATAATACATAATGATCTTTAATTTTTCTTTGGTACACCAGGTTTTTCGTAATTTTTTGTTATACATGCTTTTAAAGCATCTCTATTGCTGGTTACGACCATTTCCAATTAGTATATTCATCAAAAAATGTTAATTATACTTCTTTAGATAGAAGTAACAATAAATTTTCTTGAGAATACAATTATACGCAGAAAATAATTTAATGCTTTGCAAAACAATAAAACTAGAACATAACAATATAAGGATTTTTAAGGCTATTGCATACATAATAAGACTTGTTAAATACCGCATAAAGAAGTTTTAAGAATAAAATTAAATTAGTCAGTTCTTTTGTTTAATTAAAAGAGATATTCATTACTTGTAAAAATTACGTTGGTGTCTCGATCCAAATTTAAACAATTCATTTTCTTGTCATTGTTAATTCAACATCAAGTGATACAAATCTATAATAAAAATATGCACCATAAAAATATCCGGAAAGTATTTTACAAGGGGATACAATACAGGGCGCTTTACGGTATCCAGTATATAGTAATAGTATCTTGTTAGTATATTTGAAGTTGATATTATTAAATTTTAGACAAGACTGCCGCTTACAAATAATACCGGTATACGTACATGTATCGATATACAGTACATGTAATAGCGATAAATACCGATATTACGCAATTCATTCGTGTGCAACCATAATTAAAATACTATTGGTTTGCGTGTAATTCGTAATTAGTCGTAAACGACGACAATGGGTGCCGATATCTACGGGTATTGTTCAATAAAACAGCCAGGGTAAGTCAGATGGTTCGGGTTTTAGGTAATTTGGGGTCTTTGGGGGTCTTTGTCAATAGTGTCTTAATTTCCAATTGTTGCTTTTTCTAGCTAAAAACCTTAAACTATTTAAGAATAAAGCGCTTTCAATAAATCAATATTCTGTAAACAATATCAATATCCAATTGATGCCTTTTTTTTGGATCAAAGGTCCTAACCGTCAGTAAATTCAATCAATTATTTATAAGAAGGGTTTTACAAGTCTTGATTTTATTCGGAGAATAATTGTACAAGCAATTCTCAATGATTTTTACAGTATAAACTACTTGGAGAATAATTGTACGCAACAATTCTAATTCTTTATTGATGTCCTAGAGGACTTAATATACATTTTTGGAATTATATTATGAGACATTTTATTAACACGACACGTTTGTACATTATTATTCAAGTGAGTACTTAAAATAATTAAGAGAGAACTTAAAATATAATAAAGGATTGAAATAAAAATGGAAAACAAAAGCGAGATAAAAATAGAACTTAAAATATAACACTGCATAGAATTCGGGATAAAATAGAGCAGATCAACGAAATCTTACCAGAAATTATGAGATTGACGAAATTGTCTCTAACCTGATAACAATAGCATTACCGTAATTTTTTCGATTTGAAGTAATAAATTGTCGTCTTTTCTAGAAACTGTGAAAACATGATCATTATTTTAGGAATGCCAAAGGTTCGGTCCGTATCAGTCCTTAGACCGCTTTAGATGGGGACTCTATGACTAGATTGGACCGCTAAAATATGTGGTCCTACGGTCCTGAATAACACGTATTTAAATTGGGAAGAATCACTTTTGAATTGCCCCATTGTATTTGTTCTAATAATAGAACAAACCAATAAAGTTATAAATTGGTGCATAGTGCACTGGTGTTGGGTATATTTTAATTATTAAGAAACTTAGGGGTTGCACTCAGTCTCCAACCTGTGATGCAGGTCAATTTTAAACACTAGTTGCACCACAGTGCAAATGCACATTTTTAGAACTTAATTTGCAGTTGTCATTGCTACACACCCAAATGTCCGAATGTTCTACACCAATCAAATTGTTGTATTTTTTCCAAATTACATGTATCATAAAAGGCAACTTGAATAACAATACTGCCTGGGGATCTGTTGCATTTCCCCAGAAATTAATTAGTAAAAAAAAAGAGGGAGGTCTACTATGATGGTGGTAATTTATGGACAAATTACGGTAATTTTGATGTTTGTTCCTTATAAAGCTCTGTTCGGGTCGGGTCGGATCAAATTTGAGGTCAACCCGAACCGATAATTTCGGGTCGGGTCGTATTCGGATCGGGTTTGATCCGAAAATCGTAAAATAGTTTTTAGTTAATAACTTTTATTTTTACTAAGATACTTGTATTTGGTGTCTAAGTAGAGTTGTTCGAAATGTAATTGTGTATATACCCACAAATTTTCGTTTAATCCCAATTAATATTGAACGAGAAATAACGATTTTTAGGCTGATCCTAAATATTTCCGGTCGGAATTGACCACAATCCGACCCGACCCGAAATGTGCGTTCCGGGTCGGATCACGAATTGGACCCGACCCGGTTGGAGCACTAGTTCCTTATTTGTATTATTTAATATTTACTTTAGGATCAATCTAGTTGTAAAAACTGTTACAACTTCGATATTAACCAGAATCTTAATCCTAATCCTAACTTAGATTCTAATTAGCCAATTAAAAATTGAAAATCTAAAAATAAAATATTACTTGTCTTGATATATCGAATCTTAAATTTGATTGGAAATTTGAGACCAATGTGGCTGAACCGTCTAATAGAAGAGATCACAGAATCTCTGGGATCGAACAGATCAAACTAAAACTTTAAAATCCCTACGTTACTAATCACAGTTTTTTAGTATTTGTATCATTTGGGCTAAGCGCAATAGGAACATGTTAATGCCAGAAATAAATAGTATAGTAAAACTTGATTTCTGTATTAAGCTAAATATGTTTTGGATTTACTTTACCTCTATATTCAACCCTCGACATAACAATGTGATTGATAAAACATCATTATATTGATGAAAATTTTATTAAACGTGTTCTTGAATTGTTATAGCGATGTTTTATTGTATTGAGTCAATAATAATTTTTTTCATCAAATTGTGATTCATATCATTTCTATTGAACTTACAGTGCATAACACTTAAGACTGAAATAAAATTCATAAAAAGCTAATAGCACATTACACAAAAATAATATAAAAAAGTTATCAATTTGTAGTCAAGCCAATTTACTATAATTTAATAATCTTTTTTAATATTCATTTCTGAATATATTAATTTAAAAATATCCTGTTATAATATAAATAAAAAATATGATTTGTATTAAACAATCAAATTATATTATATTTTCTTTGACCAATCAAATTATATTAAGTTATCTTTAATATTATATTATTCTTGATTTTATTATTATTTGTAACACCTAAAGGCATTAACTAATTTTTACATAATTTCTAATTGTATTTAGTTTTCTAATTGTATTTAGTTCTCTAATTTTGGTAATAAATTATAAAAATGATAAATTAATTTATTTTCTTTCAGTATTACAATTTAATTATTTGATTACTTGTTTTTTATAAAGTTATTAAAGTTTAAAATTAGTATACTTTATATATACTTATATATAATTATAATAATTTTCTATTAAAGTAATAATAATTGATATAATAAAATTTTTTTCACATTTTGCATAAAATACAAAATATAATCTTTTTAATATAGAAAATTATATTACTCATATTAGAAAAGATCTTTAAAATTTTTGAATTTTAAATGATTTATATGTTTGATATCTTTAAATATTATATATTATATTAATTATAAAATATGCAAGAAATTTTTTATTTTGCTAATCATATATCATATAATTAATTTAGAATTATATGACTTTTATAAGTTAACTTTTTCATCCAATTTAAAATTAGAGTAATTTCAATTTTTAAATATTATATATTATAATTACTTGAAATTAAAAATAATTATTCTTTTAAAAAATATTAAATATTATTTTTTTAATTATAATATAAATAAATTTTTTAATTTTTTAAAAATTTAATTCCAATTAATAAAATATATTTATATTAAAATAAAAAATTAACTATAAATTTATTTGTAAATATTTGTAATTTATAAAATAAATTTTATTTTTTATTTTATAAAATATAAATTTAATATATAGTAATAATTAAAAATAATATAATAATATCAAAATTTATTAATTAAATATAGTAAAATGCTAATTTTTTTCTTTATATAGAGTTTTTTATTTTACTAATAAATATTTTTTATTTTTATATTAAAATGAAGATAATATACAGTGACAATCAGAAATAATGCAACGATGTCAAAATTTGCTAATTAAACATAGTAAAATGTGAATTTTTCTCTTTATATAAAAGTTTTAAATTTTACTAATAAATATTTTTTATTTTACATTAAAATGAAGATAATATCACATATTTTAACATATATTTTTTTCAGATTTTTTAGATTTAATCTGATAAA